CTGCAATAATACCCTCGACAGTCTCTCCGTCCTCTCTTCCCTGCGCTTCTCTCATGACACTTCCGCTGCCGCTTTGCAACCACCAATGCACCGCAGCACAGCAGAAGTCGCGTTACTCCAAACACCCACGCGCCTCCTCCCAGGTCTACCCTTCTATCCGTCAACTGCATCTGCGACGTCTCAAACGCCATGTCGACGCACCCATCCTTTGACAACCTGCCCTGCCACTTTCCTCCAGCGTCTACCGCTACAGTCTCATCACACCCCAACAAAAATCACTGCACCCGCATCCCACATACCAACCATTCAACATCTGAAACAGCCCTCATATCCCACGCATTCGCCGACTCCTTCTCGCAACCAAATGCGGCAACACCAAACACCAAAACCGACTCCACAACATCAATTACCCAGACAGCGTCGTTAAAGCAAATGCACCTCCTCCAACTGCAATAATACCCTCGACAGTCTCTCCGTCCTCTCTTCCCTGCGCTTCTCTCATGACACTTCCGCTGCCGCTTTGCAACCACCAATGCACCGCAGCACAGCAGAAGTCGCGTTACTCCAAACACCCACGCGCCTCCTCCCAGGTCTACCCTTCTATCCATCAACCGCATCTGCGACGTCTCAAACGCCATGTCGACGCACCCATCCTTTGACAACCTGCCCTGCCACTTTCCTCCAGCGTCTACCGCTACAGTCTCATCACACCCCAACAAAAATCACTGCACCCGCATCCCACATACCAACCATTCAACATCTGCAACAGCCCTCATTTCCCACGCATTCGCCGACTCCATCTCGCAACCAAATGCCGCATCACTCAACTCCAAAACCGACTCCACAACATCAATTACCCAGACAGCGTCATTACAGAAAACGCACCTCCTTCATTTGCCACAATAACCTTGAGGCTCTCTCCGTCCTCTCTTCCCTGCGCTTCTCTCATGACACTTCCGCTGCCGCTTTGCAACCACCAATGCACCGCAGCACAGCAGAAGTCGCGTTACTCCAAACACCCACGCGCCTCCTCCCAGGTCTACCCTTCTATCGGTCAAATGCATCTGCGACGTCTCAAACGCCATGTCGACGCACCCATCCTTTGACAACCTGCCCTGCCACTTTCCTCCAGCGTCTACCGCTACAGTCTCATCACACCCCAACAAAAATCACTGCACCCGCATCCCACATACCAACCATTCAACATCTGAAACAGCCCTCATATCCCACGCATTCGCCGACTCCTTCTCGCAACCAAATGCGGCAACACCAAACACCAAAACCGCCTCCACAACATCAATTACCCAGACAGCGTCGTTAAAGCAAATGCACCTCCTCCAACTGCAATAATACCCTCGACAGTCTCTCCGTCCTCTCTTCCCTGCGCTTCTCTCATGACACTTCCGCTGCCGCTTTGCAACCACCAATGCACCGCAGCACAGCAGAAGTCGCGTTTCTCCAAACACCCACGCGCCTCCTCCCAGGTCTATCCTTCTATCCGTCAACTGCCACTGCGACGTCTCAAACGCCATGTCGACGCACCCATCCTTTGACAACCTGCCCTGCCACTTTCCTCCAGCGTCTACCGCTACAGTCTCATCACACCCCAACAAAAATCACTGCACCCGCATCCCACATACCAACCATTCAACATCTGCAACAGCCCTCATATCCCACGCATTCGCCGACTCCTTCTCGCAACCAAATGCGGCAACACCCAACACCAAAACCGACTCCACAACATCAATTACCCAGACAGCGTCATTAAAGCAAATGCACCTCCTCCAACTGCAATAATACCCTCGACAGTCTCTCCGTCCTCTCTTCCCTGCGCTTCTCTCATGACACTTCCGCCGCCGCTTTGCAACCACCAATGCACCGCAGCACAGCAGAAGTCGCGTTACTCCAAACACCCACGCGCCTCCTCCCAGGTCTACCCTTCTATCCGTCAACTGCATCTGCGACGTCTCAAACGCCATGTCGACGCACCCATCCTTTGACAACCTGCCCTGCCACTTTCCTCCAGCGTCTACCGCTACAGTCTCATCACACCCCAACAAAAATCACTGCATCCGCATCCCACATACCAACCATTCAACATCTGCAACAGCCCTCATATCCCACGCATTCGCCGACTCCTTCTCGCAACCAAATGCCGCATCACTCAACTCCAAAACCGACTCCACAACATCAATTACCCAGACAGCGTCGTTAAAGCAAATGCACCTCCTCCAACTGCAATAATACCCTCGACAGTCTCTCCGTCCTCTCTTCCCTGCGCTTCTCTCATGACACTTCCGCTGCCGCTTTGCAACCACCAATGCACCGCAGCACAGCAGAAGTCGCGTTACTCCAAACACCCACGCGCCTCCTCCCAGGTCTACCCTTCTATCCATCAACCGCATCTACGACGTCTCAAACGCCATGTCGACGCACCCATCCTTTGACAACCTGCCCTGCCACTTTCCTCCAGCGTCTACCGCTACAGTCTCATCACACCAACAAAAATCACTGCACCCGCATCCCACATACCAACCATTCAACATCTGAAACAGCCCTCATATCCCACGCATTCGCCGACTCCTTCTCGCAACCAAATGCCGCATCACTCAACTCCAAAACCGACTCCACAACATCAATTACCCAGACAGCGTCGTTAAAGCAAATGCACCTCCTCCAACTGCAATAATACCCTCGACAGTCTCTCCGTCCTCTCTTCCCTGCGCTTCTCTCATGACACTTCCGCTGCCGCTTTGCAACCACCAATGCACCGCAGCACAGCAGAAGTCGCGTTACTCCAAACACCCACGCGCCTCCTCCCAGGTCTACCCTTCTATCCATCAACCGCATCTACGACGTCTCAAACGCCATGTCGACGCACCCATCCTTTGACAACCTGCCCTGCCACTTTCCTCCAGCGTCTACCGCTACAGTCTCATCACACCCCAACAAAAATCACTGCACCCGCATCCCACATACCAACCATTCAACATCTGCAACAGCCCTCATTTCCCACGCATTCGCCGACTCCTTCTCGCAACCAAACGCGGCAACACCCAACACCAAAACCGACTCCACAACATCAATTACCCAGACAGCGTCATTAAAGCAAATGCACCTCCTCCAACTGCAATAATACCCTCGACAGTCTCTCCGTCCTCTCTTCCCTGCGCTTCTCTCATGACACTTCCGCTGCCGCTTTGCAACCACCAATGCACCGCAGCACAGCAGAAGTCGCGTTACTCCAAACACCCACGCGCCTCCTCCCAGGTCTACCCTTCTATCCGTCAACTGCATCTGCGACGTCTCAAACGCCATGTCGACGCACCCATCCTTTGACAACCTGCCCTGCCACTTTCCTCCAGCGTCTACCGCTACAGTCTCATCACACCCCAACAAAAATCACTGCACCCGCATCCCACATACCAACCATTCAACATCTGCAACAGCCCTCATTTCCCACGCATTCGCCGACTCCTTCTCGCAACCAAATGCCGCATCACCCAACACCAAAACCGACTCCACAACATCAATTACTCAGACAGCGTCGTTAAAGCAAATGCACCTCCTCCAACTGCAATAATACCCTCGACAGTCTCTCCGTCCTCTCTTCCCTGCGCTTCTCTCATGACACTTCCGCTACCGCTTTGCAACCACCAATGCACCGCAGCACAGCAGAAGTCGCGTTACTCCAAACACCCACGCGCCTCCTCCCAGGTCTACCCTTCTATCCATCAACTGCATCTGCGACGTCTCAAACGCCATGTCGACGCACCCATCCTTTGACAACCTGCCCTGCCACTTTCCTCCAGCGTCTACCGCTACAGTCTCATCACACCCCAACAAAAATCACTGCACCCGCATCCCACATACCAACCATTCAACATCTGCAACAGCCCTCATTTCCCACGCATTCGCCGACTCCTTCTCGCAACCAAATGCCGCATCACTCAACTCCAAAACCGACTCCACAACATCAATTACCCAGACAGCGTCATTAAAGCAAATGCACCTCCTCCAACTGCAATAATACCCTCGACAGTCTCTCCGTCCTCTCTTCCCTGCGCTTCTCTCATGACACTTCCGCTGCCGCTTTGCAACCACCAATGCACCGCAGCACAGCAGAAGTCGCGTTACTCCAAACACCCACGCGCCTCCTCCCAGGTCTACCCTTCTATCCATCAACCGCATCTACGACGTCTCAAACGCCATGTCGACGCACCCATCCTTTGACAACCTGCCCTGCCACTTTCCTCCAGCGTCTACCGCTACAGTCTCATCACACCCCAACAAAAATCACTGCACCCGCATCCCACATACCAACCATTCAACATCTGCAACAGCCCTCATTTCCCACGCATTCGCCGACTCCTTCTCGCAACCAAATGCCGCAACACCAAACACCAAAAACGGCTCCACAACATCAATTACCCAGACAGCGTCATTAAAGCAAATGCACCTCCTCGAACTGCAATAATACCCTCGACAGTCTCTCCGTCCTCTCTTCCCTGCGCTTCTCTCATGACACTTCCGCCGCCGGTTTGCAACCACCAATGCACCGCAGCACAGCAGAAGTCGCGTTACTCCAAACACCCACGCGCCTCCTCCCAGGTCTACCCTTCTATCCATCAACTGCATCTGCGACGTCTCAAACGCCATGTCGACGCACCCATCCTTTGAAAACCTGCCCTGCCACTTTCCTCCAGCGTCTACCGCTACAGTCTCATCACACCCCAACAAAAATCACTGCACCCGCATCCCACATACCAACCATTCAACATCTGCAACAGCCCTCATTTCCCACGCATTCGCCGACTCCTTCTCGCAACCAAATGCCGCATCACCCAACACCAAAACCGACTCCACAACATCAATTACCCAGACAGCGTCATTAAAGCAAATGCACCTCCTCCAACTGCAATAATACCCTCGCCAGTCTCTCCGTCCTCTCTTCCCTGCGCTTCTCTCATGACACTTCCGCCGCCGCTTTGCAACCACCAATGCCGCAGCACAGCAGAAGTCGCGTTACTCCAAACACCCACGCGCCTCCTCCCAGGTCTACCCTTCTATCCATCAACTGCATCTGCGACGTCTCAAACGCCATGTCGACGCACCCATCCTTTGACAACCTGCCCTGCCACTTTCCTCCAGCGTCTACCGCTACAGTCTCATCACACCCCAACAAAAATCACTGCACCCGCATCCCACATACCAACCATTCAACATCTGCAACAGCCCTCATTTCCCACGCATTCGCCGACTCCTTCTCGCAACCAAATGCCGCATCACTCAACTCCAAAACCGACTCCACAACATCAATTACCCAGACAGCGTCATTAAAGCAAATGCACCTCCTCCAACTGCAATAATACCCTCGCCAGTCTCTCCGTCCTCTCTTCCCTGCGCTTCTCTCATGACACTTCCGCTGCCGCTTTGCAACCACCAATGCACCGCAGCACAGCAGAAGTCGCGTTACTCCAAACACCCACGCGCCTCCTCCCAGGTCTACCCTTCTATCCATCAACCGCATCTACGACGTCTCAAACGCCATGTCGACGCACCCATCCTTTGACAACCTGCCCTGCCACTTTCCTCCAGCGTCTACCGCTACAGTCTCATCACACCCCAACAAAAATCACTGCACCCGCATCCCACATACGG